GGGTGGTTAGACTATAAACAAGTTATATAACCAATGGAGAACTAATAAGTTATTATTGGATTACTGGCACTAACAGATTAAATAAAAACTTACCATGACACCACACATCACTCCTGGATAACTGAGTTGTTCTGCACATCCTCTCTAAATGTGTTTGGTCTTTTCTTGGGTAGCTGATCTTTTAAAAAATAAAATGCAATGGTTCTTTTTTTTGTGGACCTCCTATGGGTTTGTGAGGAATACCTGAAAGCTTTCAGAATTGAGTTTAGTTTATTGTTGGTTTAATTAGTCATATTATCCAACAGGAGATTAAGCCTAACTGCTGTATATTTTATTCATATTTACTCAAGTGCTAGACTGTTTAAAATCTTCATTCACTGCAAGATACCACTGCTTCAGTCTCTGCTTTTGTGTCCTCCAGAACCTCCACTCAATCTGACACAAAATGTATATTGATAAAAGTTTTTTATTTTCCAAATTGTATACAATTTTGAACTCTACAATGTATTACAAATTAAGTATACAGCAAAATAGAAATAAGTACTCATTGTTCTCCTTGGACTACTCAAATCCAGTAGTAAACAAAAACTTGAGGTAGATTTGGACCTGTCAAAACAAGGCAGGACAAGCAGTGGTTCACATTTGAATGTGTTCCACAAGAATAATAATGATAATAGAACAACAAAACAACAAACAACAAAAAAGCATACAGCCCTTTAAAACTGAGTATAGTTGATGACTGCTAAACGATATGACAACACCTAGTTCACAAAAACAATCAGAACATCAAAATTCTGGTGAGATGGAGCAAAACATTTTATAAAGTCTTCCATATTTAGGGAATATGTCCTCCTTGACTCAACAATAAGTATGCCCAGGTGACTTAATCTATCATCTGCCATTGTTGTCCTGAGGTGGGTTTTTAGTAATTCAAGAGTAGAGAAACTTCTTTCACAGGATGCAGTGCTAACTGGAATCATAAGCCATATTTTACTAAGCCTAAAAAGTTGTTGGGAAAGCTCTTTGTAAGGTTCTGAAAACTTGGGAAAGCTCCTTGTAAGGTTCTATAAATTGATATAGCTGAACAGATGTGAAAAATGGCATCTCAGAAATGATTGACGGTTCAGGCCCTGGCTCTGACTTTCAGTGTCGTTGGGCAAGACACTTCACCTGCATTGTCTACTGATGGTGATCAGAGGGCCTGGTGGCGCCAGTGCATGGCAGCCTTGCTTCTTTCAGTGAGCCCCAGGGCAGCTGTGGCTACAATGTAGCTTGCCACCATCAGTGTGTGCGTGAATGGGTGAATGACTGAATGTAGTGTAAAGCGCTTTGGTCAAGTCTCCTGACTTGAAAAAGCGCTATATAAGTACATGCCATTTACCAGTCAGGTGAGGGATGCTGGGGGTGTCTGGNGCCATTTACCAGTCAGGTGAGGGATGCTGGGGGTGTCTGGCTAAGTTTAGAGGGGCTTTTTTTCTCTTCTGGATCATGGGACCTACATTTTATAGAAGTTTATATAAGGGGACTCAGGCTTATTGATAATGGAGAAAAGTACAGACATGTGTAGACATAGGTTCAGTAAGAGACAGTAAGTGTTACACCAGCAGTATGGATTGAATCTTAATCTTCGTGGCTGGATAAATGCACTGCAGGATTCATTTTCTTTTAGTCTTATTGAATGGTCCTGAAATTACAGAATGGAGTTTTAACTATCTTAACCAGGGAAATCCTTTAGGCATGTCAGTAATTCTACCAACTGCATAATATCTCATTAGTATATTTTCAATGAAAAATGTGTCTTGAATGGGTTCATATTTTGAATTCTAACTTAAAAAAAGGATTTTTGTCTTAAAAATATGTAATGTTCCTAACTCTTTATAGAGCACCAATCAATGAATATTGGATTTTATTTTTTGGGCTGCAACTGCATTGACATCATAAAATATTTATTCTTATTTTTATTTTATTTTAAAGCTTTAGATCATTCTAGGGCTTGGTATTGAAGACAAAACAAAAAAAAACAACAACAGCTCTTTGCTTATGTCAAGCATTTATTTGACATTTGACACAATGTATTATCTCACATATTTTTAAATCCCACATACTCTCACTCCTTGGTCTACATTTTATGTTTTTTATGCAATAGTAAACCGAGCAATTTACAAAATTAATTTTATAGTTTAGAATATCTCAATTAAAGTTATAACTTCCTTGCAATCGTTGACCAAATAGTTTAAGTTAAATAACTGTTTTTCTGTACATACACATATATATTTTTTTTTAGGATTGACAGACAGTGGATCCTTTTCACACAGCTGTTCTGAAAAGAAATCCTGTGTTGGTGATTAAAAGGTCCTCATCATGTAAAGAAGCAGTTAGAACTTCATTCTGAATCAAACACAGGGGTTGATCCTTTTGTTGCTCAGAGCCTCTATCAGTTTGGTTTGCATGATCTCTTTGCTTGAATACAGCGGCAGCTCCAATGTGGAGAAACAAGTGTGCGTCTCAGGGAAGTATTGGTCGTGAGAGTGATCCTTCTTGTCTATTTCTTTTATTTTCATCTGTATCTTATCCAATCCGAGTACAGGCACTCTTTCAAATCCAGTGACGAACCCTGATGAAGGTGAAAGAGTTTATCAGAAGATATCAGGTGACTAGCAAGGTCAAAAGCCAGAATGAATCTGCGTTTTAGGAAAATGATCTAGAGGCCAGATATTTTCCTTTTCCCTACTGATAGAGACCTTTCCCTTACCTTGATTATGTCTGCGTTTTGTTATTCTTATTTAAGTTTATGTAAAAAAAAACTTAAAAAATATAGATTTTTGTAACACATATGCAACTGATGAGAAAAACTGAAGGGAAAGCAGTAAAAAGTGGTATTAAAAGGAATAATAAAAATTATGTAATTTTATTTAAAATTGTGCAAGACAAAATCAAAATCCCATACTCACACAAAAAAGTTTTCTTTTGATTCTCAGTTAGCTCATCAAAAACCTCCCAAAATGTCTGGATGGTCGGATGGTCAGCATTGAACTGGCCCTCATAAATTGTACTCTAAAAATCAAGAAAAAAATGTGGCGTTAGCTGTAAATTAAACAACACAACACACATACAACCAAAGAAAGTACCTGTTTAAGTCTCTCCCAGTCATGGAAGTCATTTCCAACTAGGATTTCTTGTAGTTCCTTTGGCCTAAACAGCCTCACTAAATCCCGGTCGCAAACTTGGAGAAAACCTTTTTTAAATTCCTCAAATGCAGTCTTCACAGAAACATTGAAGACATGGTCCACGAAGGCGTCCACAAACTCGTGCCTGTTTAGATAAAAAAAAGATGTAATTCTACAAAATGGTTTAGAGACATACTTAAGTACAAATCATACGGCTCAATTTGCTCAACAAAACTGTGATTTTTTTGTTTTATTTTTATTATTTTTATTTTCAAGAAAATCTAAATGTGGTATACTATGGTATATAGGGGAGTGGCGGCCTAGTGGTTAGGGCAAAGAGCTTGGAATCCTGGGGTTATGAGTTCGAAACTCACTTCAACAGACTGGCTCTCTGAGCAAAACCTTTAACCCTTGATTGCTCCCACCGCACCGCAAGAGGAAGGGTTCAATGCAGAGGTAAAGTTCTCCAATGTGAGATCAATAAAGTTCAATTATTATTAGTACCTCAAGGATCTATTGTAGACCCATAGATTTTTCTGTTTTCCTATGCCGGATCTATTTTTATTTTCTTATTACAGACGATCTGAAAAAGCTCAAAAACCAAACTTGGTTTTATTATACCACTAATGCTAAATCCCATGGTCATAATGAAATCAAAAATCACACTTAACAGAAAAAAAAAACAATGGTTAATTTTTTGTTTTGTATATGTTATGTTGTTTGCATGAAATTCAATAGCTATTTTTATATTTTTAACTTTGATTTCATGAGAAATAAAAAACAAAAAAACCCCATTTATTTATTGATGCTGGATTAAAAAAATGAAGGCTGAAAACAGGATTATTATAGGCCCTGGTGGGTATAGAACCAACAGTTTATTTGATAGTTGCTCCATTTCTAGAGACAAAACCTTTGTCAATTGCCTTTCTGTTGGTAAAAAAACAACAAAATAACAAACTAATAAAAACAGAATTTGCATCTTTGTGAGAGGCTGATAATAAACTGGCAGAAGATGTTATTTCTTACTTGTTTTTACTCGTTACTTGCTTTTCAGGATTTTCAGGATCAAGATCGACCTCTGTTCCATCCCAGGGGATCTTTAATGAAAATAAAGCCTGGTGTTACTTCACTCTATTTTAATTAATAACTTCAATAACTAAAATAACGACACTACCCACCGAAAAAAATATGTCTTCTAGGTCCTCATCTGTGTACTCATCCAGGATGCATTGCAGACTCCTTAGAAACCATAGAGACAATTTTTAATTTATTTATATTTTTATGTAAACATTATTTAATAATTCTACTTACTTTCCAACACTTGGACTGAATTCTTTCAAATCTTCCAGTGTAGGTCTCACTCCCAGAAGCTTTTTGAAGAGCGCCAGGGGGAAGGGAAGGTAAATGAGCATAGAGTTGTACAAAGCAAGTCCACAGAGAACTCCAAACAGATAGAAATTCTGGTCCTTCTCTGAAGCCTGATAATATAAGGTTTAAAAAATGAATTAAAACATCAAAACACCAAACATCAAAAGAATAAATTCAATGTTGAATCTATTTATCTGATTTTCATGAAACTAACAATTCTTACTTTGGAGGAGAACCATGCCAGTGTTTGTGAGTCATTGAACATGAACATCCTTGACACCGGAGACATCAGTTCCTTAAATACTGCATGGAAGAAGTCTTTTATATTGAGCAAGACATCGTCAATGTTATAGTTCCCATGGAAAAATACCTGAAAGACAACAGGTTACCTATAAATGTCATTCTTGGACCCCACAGAAGTTGCCTAAAGACAATGCGATGTTCGTGTTCAATAAGTCTTGGCCACTAAAATTACCACAAGTTTCTTCTTGTAGCTGCTTTCATCAGCCTGAGCCAGCTGTTCAAATGTATCCTTTAACATAGATGCTCGGTTTAACTGCAGTAGGAGGCCTGGAGGGTCAGGGAAACAAAGTTCGAAGTCCAGAATCATATGCATAAACATCTCCAGGGAAGACATCACAACCTCTTCCTGTCAAAAAAAGACACCCAAAAAAAGTATAAGAGCTTAGATATTAGGTTTAGCAAACATAGAGCCTAAATTCAACAGCTAAACCATATAGAAAATTGACAGATTAGTTTGCCAGTATGTACAGATTTGCTGGAACATACATTTATACATACACAGAAATTTATCATACCCAAACACAAATAAGGACACATTTATTCAATTAAAACAGGTAATAAAAAGTTACACTTGTGCGTGACGTCAATGGCAGTTATGCAGTTTAGATTTGTTTTTTTATAGTTTAAAATTTAAATATGTACGTTAATAATCATTTGTGATAAATGATTGATTACATTTGATTAAATTAAATTAATAATTGCTGTTTTTTATAACGGGATACAGTTTTAATCACATTGCTGGTTTACCATAAAACTGTTCCACTTTATACATTTTACAAAAAAATAAAAAATTTCTCCACTAATATCACAGTAAAACATGAACCAATCAGACATTAAAGAAATGTACTATTTAAAATCATATATAACTAACTTAAATTTATTGTTACGGATGTTTGTAAGACAGGTTAAAAGCACTATGTTGCCGTGTTAAAATGCACTAATGATTTAACAGCAGTTACCGTGTTGAGCTCAGTATTTGTGTAGAAAACCAGCGTCTTTGCCTGCAGATTCATCACAAATGGGAAGTTGCACAGAACAAGTGGCTCAGAATGCGCATACTAAAAACAAAAAAATGACAATAAGATTTTCCTTTCTACATATTTAATATTAGATAAATTTCTGTTTAATTTCCATGTTTAATCTGCCAAAAACATTCTTACCCAGCGTTTGGATTTTAAACGCCACATGTCCAGGTCGTCAAGCAGAAAATCTTGGTCGATCGACAGATAAAACTCACTTTCTGGCAGCCTTCGTGACTCTGCAACCCTGCTGTTAATCTGTCAAGATATATTTCATAAGATTTTACCATTTATGGGAAAGAAAAAATAAAAACATGAAATAAAGTGTCCGTATTAGATTATAATACTGACATTATGCATGTACTGAAGTACTTCAAGCAGGTTTCTGACACCGCTACTGCGAGGAGCATCATATTTGGACAAAATCCCAGAGAGAGCTTGCCTCCACACGCTCACAAATCTCCCCATGCTGGATCGAGATAGCAAGGACCACCACTCCCCTATAAATGATCAACAAAGCTTTAGCATAATAAATTCCAGCTTTAAAATGCCAAAATAACTTTAGCCAGGTTGGATACCAGTACCTAAAACCTCAAGGCTTGTCATCGACAGGCTTGAAACAACAGCAGCAACCGTCTCAGCGAGCTTGCTGCTCTGCTGCTTCCTGTGTTTCTGGATGACATGAAGGAGCTCATTAAGGAGCAGAAAGATCCTCAGACTTTCCACTGCAACTGGGTTCTTATCAAGGAGAGGAAGCAAATGCAGAATTGCAGCTTCAACCTGAAAGTTCAGAGGAAAAAACATGTTGGTTTAGAGTGGAAATGTGACCAGTCTGGTTAACTTAGACAGCAGAGCTCAATATTTCATATGAAGGTCAAACATTCTCATGAACGGATGGATAGAAAGGAGGATAAACTGAAAATAAATGAACAGGTAGATGAATGGAAAAGAAAATGCGTAAAAAGAATGGACAAAGACAATGATGTACCTCTTTCCAAACGATGTCCACCTTCACCAATTTCTTAAAATACTGTCGAGCCAGCTTAAAGTTCAGACCATGGCATTTTGAAGAGGTCTGGAAATGTTTATCTCTCCTGAGAATAAAAGAAAACACAAAGTGTATAGAATACTGTACGGTTTTATGTCTGAACTGGACAATTTAGGGTTTAGTTGCTCTTTAAAGATAGTACAGTTTCAATTAGTATATCTTTACATTTGCTCTAGGAAGCTTTTATTCAGACAGGATGCAGTTGAAAATGTTCTGCGGATTTCCCTGAGGAAAAAAAAAAAAAAGAATAAGAGTAAAACCATTAAATATTTATTCTAATCAAAACAACCATTAACATCTTCTAATGGTATATACTGTACTTACTGTTTTGTCTTTTTCCATGACTTGCTATCACAGTTAGAGATCCAGTTATCAACCATGTCTTCCAGCCCATGTTTAGTTGCATTATTGATTCTTTTAGCATCTAGATTTCTGTCCACACACTGTAGATAGAAACAAGGGAGATTAGTTAATTTTAATTAGTTAATTATGCATCTGCATAATCTCTATGCTTGGTACCTCTTCAGAAGAGCATGTTGCAAATGAACAGTTTTCTCCAGCAAAGATAGTTCCTATTTTGGGTTGATTTGAGTCTGCAACTAATAAAAAATGAGAAACATTTCACAATAAATCCATCTGAAAATATTTGTTGGATTTTTTTATTCAACAAGTTTAGTTACCCCGAGGTAGAAGAACAGGAAGCGGCACAGATGGACAGTTTTCTGTTCTGTTTCCCAGCTGACCTTGCTCCCCGCAACCGAAGGAGTAGACCTTACGGCCGTCTGTCAAAGCCAAAGTGTGATATCTAAAAGCACATAAACAACATGCTGGTGAATTCCCTTTTATTAGAAACAGCCTAACTTATGCCGTCTCCAGCTATGGTGTGGGGCTGTGTATCGCCCAATACTACTGATTAACACCCACCTAACATCAGCTATTAGATGGCCGAAACTAAAGAGACAATATGGGATTGGCTCTGTCTGTGATGTACTATAGCCAACAGTCGCTTAAAGGTACAAACTGCCTGAAATAAATATTTATAACTTCAGTTCTAAGTGAATCTTCTAAATACCTATCAAAGTGATTACAAGTGATACAGCTTTGGGTTTGATGTTAATCATTCATTCAATTTTTTTCTAGTTCTTGTTTAAAGTCCTGCCTTTGAAGCAATGGTAGATTCATAACTGGTAGCTCTATTGATAACTAGGCCTACCCCAGACCTTTCCCATAATCATTTCTAGTAGGGAAATGCTTACAAACATCCCTCAAAACTGCTTTAGGTGGAGCTAAAACAGGCTGACACTGAAATTATAGAACAAGTTTCGCAAAAAACAGATACAAACCTATTATAAATTGAAGGACGATGCTTGAAAGCTGGATTAGGGCCTGAAAGCTAACCTATGAAGGCTCCTAATTCTGCTTAGAAGAGATTGCACAATACAAGTAGTGTCTATTTTATTTACAACCGTCTAAAAGTAATTTATAAAAAATATTAGTGGGGATGTAGGTTTGTATTCCAAGTGTATAATAAAAACTTTGTCTAAATTTGAGCGGATGCATGTTCTGCGTTCATTTAGCAACCTATGGTCTTCTGCACGGAGTTTGCATGTTCTCCCTATGTATGTGTGGGTTCTCTCCAGGTACTCAGGTTTCCTCCCAAGTCCAAAAATGTGACTGTTAGGTTAATTGGCATCTTGGAATTGGTGCTCGTATGTCTGTCTAGTTTTAGATCTGTCCATGGTGTACCCCACCATGACCCTTCCATGGTGTACCCCACCCAGCGACAGGCACAACCCCACCATGACAGATAAACAGGATAAAATGGAGGGATGGATATTGCACCAAATCCTTCTTTTTAGGTAATTAATGTGTTTCATGAAGTTAAGTCCGATTAAGAAAGATCTTAAGTATTGACAGTACAAAGGACAGCAACTTACCCGCCACATGCAATCTTGATAACTTTAGTGCCCCACAGTTCAGCAATAAGTCGAGGACGGAGTTCATTTTGCAGTGAATTGTGTCCAAGTTGTCCATACTGACCAGAGCCAAATGTAAACACTGCCCCCTGCTGAAAAATTAACCAAATGGCACATCTTCAAACATTTGTTTCTTTTATCAGGATGTTTTTTTGTAGTTATAAACCTCAAATGAGACAAAAATATAATGAGCAAAAAAATAAATAAATTTCCTCTTTCTTCTTAATAGTCTAATTCTATTAACAGTAGATGACAATCTGTCTCTAGGCTTATTATTATTATTACGGTTAAACATTCAATCACCATCTAGGTAATTACCATTTTTCCTTTTATATTTCTTGGAAAGATCATCTTTTAAGGAAAAATATTAAATAAAGTTACTTCCTGAAGCATTAATATCGTAAAAGAATAATTTTCAGGTTTTTAATTTAATTTGTGAAAACAACATACTTCGTAATATCTAAAAAATTTCAAACAGGGGCAGGATGCTTGGACTTTGATGCCTAACCTTTGTCAGAACGGCTGTATGGTCCTTTCCACAGCAAATGTCGCTCGTTTTCTTCAGATTCAAACTACTGACACAAGTTGGTGTAAATACATCTAAAGAAAATAACACAAGATTTATTCTGTGAGGTATTACAGATAAACAGCTGAATATGTTGTAGTAAATCAGACAGTCATTTGCTGCAGCACCTTTTGTTCCTCCTAGTCCAAGCTGTCCACAGTTATTTCTTCCCCAGCCAAACACGCCTCCTGACACAGAGAGGGCAAAGCTGTGGTCTCCTCCTGCAGAGATCTGAACCACTGGGACTGACGACAAGGATCGGACTTGTTGAGGTGATCTGGCTCCTGAACCTCTCTTTCCCAGACCCAGCTGACCCCTGGAGTCAAGGCCCCATGTATACACCTGACACTCTGAGGAAAGATCACCAGGACTGACAATTAAACTCTTTCTTTTATGTGTTAAAATCATATCTTAAACATCAAACTTGCTATCCACAGTATGAAGATCTTTTTCAATCAGTTTCTACTGAAAATCACTGTCTAATTTTCTGAATATTAATGAGCATCTTTGTTTTAATGAGATTTCCATCCAGCCTATCTTCCTGACTTTCTGCATTCTTTGGGTTCTGTTATCCATGGGGCATTCTTCAAATATCATAGTGTGTGTGTGAGTGTAAGTAAGGCAACAGCTCTTGACATACATATTTTAAGCTTAGTAATATCTACTTATTTTAATATTATGGTTATACTAAGCAGGAGAAAAAATCGGATGATTAAGTTAATGAATTTGCCAAAATGCTGAAATTTAAAATACCTTTTGTCAGGGCAACTGAGTGCTGGCTCCCACAAGCAACCTGTGCTACTGGTATGTTAGAGAAAACATCCAACGTCCTGTAAGAAAATAAAAAGGAAAACAATTATCAAAGGTCTTATATGAATTTGACAAGTTTTAGGATGAGGTTAAGTTATTTTCATCCTAGTGTAGTAAACATTTATGTTTCCTCACCTGGGTGAGTACGGGGTGCGAGTCGTGTCCACGCAGAAAACTGAGCCTCTCTCAGACAGCAGCGTCACCACATCATCTTCACAGCTCACAGCCTCAATCTTCTCCTTACATTTCACAAACTCTATAATTACACAAACATACCTCATGTATTAACATAACATACAATATGGTCATTGCTACCATTAAACTAATGTGTCACGTCAAGAAAAATGGAATTGCTGGTGGTGTCTGACTAAAAAGAATAAAATGCCCATTTCTTGTCTCCTGTGTTTGGGAGAATCAATCAATCTCTAAAAAAATCATTAAGAAATAAGAGTATCTGGTTGTTGGTCTTTAAAAAGTCTTAAAAGGCAAGTGTTGTGTGTTTGTTGACAGGGTGAAGCCTAGATGTATTTCTTTATTTTCCTGTGAAACTGGACTGCTCTGTCCAGGAAATCTTTGAAGAAATCATTTGACACTGACTCGTGTAATTTCCTGACATTTTAATAATTTTATGCAGTTTGTCAGCAGGAGTTGGCAAAGGTCTCTAATCAAAAAACGTTTCTATTGCGTTTTGTTTATATTAATAGTTCTCTAGAGTCTTAGATTTTTTTTTATTCATCTTTTGACTTTGGTTGCTAAGATACTGATACAATCCAATTCAATTCAGTTTATTCATATAGTGCCAATTCACAACACATGTAATCTTAAAGCGATTTACAGATACAATTCAACCAGATTATACATTCAGATTGATTCCAAGTTTTAAAGTAAGTTTAAAGGGGTGGACATGGGCACCCCAAGCCCACCCCTTAGTGACATCACTGATGTTAAAATATGAACCTGAATGGTGTAGACCAAAAAGATCACAACAAATAAAATGTAGCGCACCTAGCCAGTTTTTCTATTTAAAATATAGCTTATTTATTTTGTCCATATATAAACCAAACATATACTTACTCTGTTTTCCTCGAACTCTGTTTCCATCTTTGTTCTCATAAGTGCGCAAAATAAACGCGTTCCCGTTACTTTTAACGAAAGCCAGCACACTGCGACCTACAGACACATCCGAGAGTTTATAATCAACATTTAAATGATGGACTCCTTCATCTGTGCTGAAGTCTCCTTTCAGCCAGAAGCCTCGCTGACAGTCCTCTCCCCATGAAAACATCCTGCCTGTGAGCCTCACCAGGTCCAACAGCTGATCTTTGATTATGTTGCTCAGCTGTCAGACAGAAACGAAACCTAAACACACCAGAGAAACAAAACACACACGTTTCTGAAGAGCAGAGGGCGGAGCCAATCAGCTGGTTGGATAATGCACTGCACTGTGGGTAAAAGGAAAGTGAAACTGAGCATTTAGACTCAATTCCTTCGAAATTACTCATAAAGCCAGAGAAAAAAGCAGGAAAACTGGCTTCAGATAGGATCAGATAAATATAGCCTGCCTGATAGGATAGGCAACAAAAAATATTTATTGTCTCACCAGTGATGCTAAACATTTGAACTTAACCCCTTTTTAAACCTTTATTTTGGGGTTTAGAAGTTGAAACCTGTTTTAATATACATAGGTCCAACACAAGCCCAGAAATTATCCTGGACTTGGATGGGCATATAATTTAGTTCATGTTTCGTTCTTCAAAGTTTATGCAGCTGAATCAAAGGTTCAGAGTATATGACTGAGAAGCAACTTGGTAAATAAAGAAATGCCCATCCATCCATTTTCTGTGACGCTCATTCATATTGGTGCTGGTACCCATTTCCAGCTGTAAAGAGGCGGGGTACACAATGGACCACTGCATGAAAAGTGGGATTTTCGTCAATATGCGGCACTGTAGATTGTCGTGGAACTTCAGGTTAGCGG